TTTTACTGCAGCATTTGCCCAGTCTTTCTCTCTTGGAGTTGAAGTAATGTGATTCTGCACCAGAGACCTTGTAGCTGTGCGCTGAGTCAAACGTTGATTTATACAAGGACGCAACATGTGCAGACAGTGCAGGTTCAGGCGGCCCTGTTTTTTCTGTGCTTGTGCTTAAATGCGTTCAGGCCCGCTATGCAGTTTTCATAACGCATGCAGCGCTTCAGAGGAAAACCCCCTTTAAAAAGTCCAGACTGCAGTCCCCATTCAGCCGTCCAGTTCCTCCTGCTGGCTGTTCCCCTGCTCCTGTGCGGCGGAGGGGCTGGCTGGCTCTCGCTCCGGGCGTGTGGGGTACCATGCTGCCCGCCGAGGGGCACTTGACCCAGCCTCCCGTGAGTCGGCGGGCTCGGCAGGAAGCGAAGCCCTTCCTGGAGGTTGTGTGGGGAGCACGCGTCCGCTCTCCCTCCCCACGAGCGACAGACATGAGAGAGAGAGAGAGGAGCTGGAAAGTAGGTCAGGGGGAGGGAGGGGGCCCGCCAGCCTCCCCGGTGCCGTCTCCTCGCGATCTGCGCTGCGACGGGCGCAGACTGCGGCCAGGCGGAAACGGGGGACCGCTACCGTTCCTGTAAATCCCCCCGCAAAGACCTCCCGGAGGAGGACCCTCGCTTCACGTGAGGTCAAGAGCGGACTGCGTCCTGGACAGAACCGTGCCGTCGGGCCCTTATGGGAACTGAACCTGAGGGGCACGTGCCTCTGTACACAAATACATCGCTTCCCCGTCACGCTGGAGCGGTGGCAGCGCTCCCGAAAGCCCGTCTTCGTCGCGTTCGGACTCCGGGGGGGGGAGAACCGTGTAGCACACTGGAGAGGCACGCACCAGCACTTTTTTTTTAGCAGTTTGGGTTGTTCTGCAAGCTGAGCCGAGGGGAGCTTAAACCTGGGAGCAAGTAGCCCATTGACCCACGGCCCAGACGGCTTTACAAACGGGTCAGGTTGGCAGAAGAGGGGTCATCAGTAGGAAGAATAAATTGGGAATCGCTTAAGACAGGGAATGTGTTGCAAAGTAACTGAATGCAGCCAATTGCAGGTACCCTACGAACAGCACTGCTTGATGTACAAGACATCTGTTTGAGAGTCTCATCGGTGCTGCAAGCCTTGAGCCTCTCTTCTATATCCTGTAAAAATATAAACCCAGAATAAAACGCGTTTCCTTACCCTTATCCTCCTCCTCCTCCTCCTCCCACAGAGCAAAGTCCAAAAACGGGGGCCGATCGCTGAGGGAGAAGCTCGACAAGATCGGCCTGAACCTGCCGGCGGGGCGCAGGAAGGCGGCGAACGTGACCCTGCTGACGGCGCTGGTGGAAGGTAGGCGCTGCTTCTCGAACCCGGGGCCGAGCGCGGCTGCTCTCGCGCTCCCTGCCGTTCTGGCCTCGTGGGCCTGAAGCCCTCTGTGCGCAGTCGGCGCTCGGAGGGAGGGCTGCCGGGATTTACAGCCGGTCCTCGGGGCTCCTGGGCGAAAGAAACGCGAAGGAGGAACGCGCTCGCCTGTGCCCCTGCCAGGGCTGGAGCTCTGCGTGTAGGAGTTTGTGCATCTGTACTGCACAGTACTGCATACTACAAAAAAAGTGGGAAGGGGATTTTAGTTCTGTGAGATTTTCACTTTTTCAAAAAAAAGTTAAATGTGCCTGACGGGACATGACTGGACTTTTTTTGTGTCAGCTATCCAGTTGGATTCCTATAGAATGATTTTTTTTATCTCCTTGCCATCTCCATCCAGAATTTTCCTATTGAGGCTCCTAAAATTTTAAAAACCAAGCTTTCTGTGCAAACTCCTTACTTCCTTTACCGTGCTGCGCACTACACCAGTCTGCTGTTCACACTCTGTCTGTCCAATTCATGCGGTGATGCCGCCCAGGCAGGTTGGGGTGTGCTCAGGGTCTCCTGGGGGTTGCGTGGGGGCAGGGTTCTGGAACCCAGGCTGTTGCAAAAGAGTCAGAATTCTGCTCCTTCCTGAGCACATTCCATGGAAGTTGCGCTTGTTCCTTGCTGAGACAGCCCACTGTCTCCATCACTGCCGAGGCTCTGTCAACAGCTGGAAACGGAAATGTGGGCTCTTGAAATATGGCTTGAGCCCATTGTTTTAATCTGGGATTGTAAACACGTGGGATCTTTCGCCACGAGGATTAAGTGACCCTGCAGCCTGTGTCGGTCTGAATGCGTGTGCCTCTCGGCGATGTGCCTGTCTGTATCGGGGACCAGACTCTGGTGGTGGGACAGGGTGGCTGAGTGCCGCGAGCTGTGGAAAACCATTAAACCGGGCAGGCTGAGGAAACAGTTTGTGCTTTTCCTGCTGCTGGCTGGAGGAGGAGGTGGTGGAACTGATCCATAGCCAAATACCAACAACATGATGGTATTTTTATATGAACTGGGCTGAATAAGATTGGAATTCTGCATCATTCTGTTGTTTTAATCACATAGATGCATTTGCAGTCCTCTCCCATGAACTATAAGCCCAGCAGATTCTCTCCAACGATTCCATCACACTGTGCAGCGGTGAGCTTGATCTTGACGGTACCCGATGAGTGCAAGCCCTGCTATATTTTAGAACTGACTCCATCGCTTTGATGAACTGTTGTGCAACCTAATTACACTCTGGGCACAGAAAGTGCCGTTCTTCATGTAGCAAGTTGAATGATGTGGTCAAAGCTGGTAAGACTTTGTTTCTGCTGGTTTGAGATGCTGTGGCTGTGGGCGCTGTTGGGATTTGGATGTTTTGGTCTGTGGGCTCTCTGAAATGACTGATCAGAACTGTCAATTAAGCTCTGGCTCAGGGCTCAAGGGTCTGGTAGCTTAGACGCGATGAGAAACAGCCTTTGTTTTCTGAAGACGTCAGGCTCACAGCAGCTCAAGAAGAGTGGGAACCCTGCTGGCGTCCCACCGTCGGGCGTCCCACCGTCAGGGCAGGTAATTGGCTGCTTGTGCTCTTCCTTCACCTGGGACTTCTCCTTTCCGCCCCTCGCAGGTGAGGCAGTGCACCTGGCCCGGGATTTCGGCTACGTGTGCGAGACGGAGTTCCCTGCCAAGGCCATGGCAGAGTACCTGAGCCGACCACACGTGGAGCGCAACGAGATCAACAGCCGGAAAAATATGCTGCTGGCCGCCAAGTAAGGGCTTCCTGTTCCGTTCTCTCTCTCTCTCTCGCTCGCTCGCTCACTCAGGGGCAACGAGACAGCAAGTGTTTTGTTCCAGCTCAGTCCTGTTACCTTTGCTGTTTGTTCACCTCTTTTCTGCTAATGAAGTTGCTCTTAGATCCTCATCCTTTAATTTCTTGAGTGGGGTAACAACTGGGGCTGTGCCACTGCATTACCTTGGCTCTCATTAACACAGAGACCCCTGCCTTGTGCAGCCACTGTGCCCCTGCATGGGCAGCATCTTGTTCTGTGCTTGGGACCAGGTAAATTGGGTGGCTCTTCAATGGAGGCTGGCAGGGCTGGGGTTAGGACAATGCCAGCTGTCTGGGCAGTCCCTCACCCTGTGCCAGGCTGCATGCTGTCCTGACACATGACAGTTGCCAGGGTTTCACATCCTTTAACTTAATTACTTATGAGTCAATCAAACCTCTGTGTCCTTCAGAACAGCCTGCCATTCCAACTCAGACTGAGCTCATTTCACACTACATTTATTCCTTTTGTGCCTCTCCTTGAAAAGAAGGCTTTACCTGAGGTAGGCTGCTGTTTCCTGGTATAATTAAGTAAGCTTGGGTGACTTTTTTTTCTTTTCAGATGTGGCTTTTTTTTGTTCTGCATTTTTCTGTCTCTGCTGGAATGTTTACATTCCACAAAACAAAGCCTTTTCATGTGTCATAATGGCATCTGTTTAGGGCAGGACCCAGATAAACCAGAAACCCTTCCAGGTATTCATTCAGGTCATTCGGCAGCTCTGAAAATGTAAAATGTGACATTTTAATTAAAAGCAAGATTGGCCCCAGTGGTTTTAACTTCAGTTTACTTGCTTGTTTCACAGTGTCTTGAGCGCATGTCTAAGTGGGATGAGTAATAGATAAATAGATAACCATAATTACAGCTATGATATTTAAAATAATAATATGCTACTTCTGGCTGGCATGGTGGCACATGGTTAGCATTGCAGTCTTGCAGTGCTGAGGTCCCTGTGCCCGTTGCTTGCAGAGGTGGGCTCGGGCCCCCAGTGGATAGTGAGGTTCACATATCCATCCATTTTCTCCCTTCTTTGATCTGCAGAAATGAACCGTCAGATGTCTTGTACACCACCTGGTATAAAAAAAATGAGCAACCCAATGCAAAACCGATTGGTAAATTGCCGGAATGCAATGAGAGTTAAAGGGCCCAAGGGGTGAGCGATAGTGATCAGCCCCCTGTAAACAGTCCTCGGGGGACTTGGGGTGGCACGTCTGTGACTGTGGGAAGTGAAAAGCTGATGCTTACCTGGGAAGCAGACCTGGCCAAGGTGAAGTTTAAAGGGAAATCGCACGATGGAAACACAGCCATGAAAGACAGGGCTGAAGCGATGGTTCCTGCCGGTCTGTGGTACTTGATGTGAGCGTCACAGTTTTGACATGTCTGCACATAAAAATAAAAATAAGGTGTCAGCCTTTTCCTTAATAATGGCACAAAGGGGTGCACTGCTTCTTTGTTGAATTAACAGGCATGTACATAAGTGTTTAATCCTTTTAATATTTTTCCATGATTTTTAAAACCTCATTAACTTCAATCGTATTTAACTGGGTATGGAATTAGAGAACAAATTCTCAGTTTCAATGATGAACAGGCAAAGTGGTGTAATACTTCCTATGGAAGACCGAGGAGGTTGTACAATGAGGTATTAAGGAGGTATTCGTGCATCCATGTGGTTCTTGATATCCTGTTGGGTCCTGGCTAAGCGAGGGTTATGAGTGTGGATGCTTTCCTTTCCTCATGTGTCTCCTCTTCCTCTCAAGGCAAATCTGCAAGGAGTTCACTGACCTCCTGACCCAGGACCGCTCCCCTCTGGGGAACACGCGCCCCGCGCCTATCCTGGAGCCGGGCATCCAGGGCTGCCTGACGCACTTCAGCCTGATCACCCACGGCTTCGGCAGCCCCGCCATCTGCGCCGCCATGACCTCGCTGCAGAACTACCTGAACGAGGCCCTCAAGCAGGTGGACAAGATGTACCTGAGCTCGGGCGAGGCGCAGGGAGGCTCCGAGGGGGCGAGCAAGGCCACAGACAAAATGGACAAGCACAGGAAGTGAGACGGGCCACGCCCCCCGCCCCCCACACCACCCTGCGTGCTCCGGCTGTCTGGAGCCTGCAGACGCTCCTACGTGCCGAATTACCTTTGAACTGCACCGACAACCCCAAAAGCCACAAGCCTCATCCGATTTCCGTCGGCGTTTTTTCTTTTTTTCCCCCTTCCGAGTTTGATGTTTCCTGGTAGTGCCCCCCTGACGTGTCTGGCCTGTTCCGCGTTGCTCCTGCCTCTGACAGTGGAGTGGTCGGGCTGGCCAGCTGCGTGCGTGTGGGCGTGGACGCTCTCCGTACCCCAGAGGAGCTGTCGGCGGCAGCGAGGAAGGAGGGAGGGAGGGAGGGGGGCTGAGGCGCAGGTCTGTGGCGTTGTGTGAAACTCTCCGCACGGGAGCCGGCGCTCTCCTGGACTTTCTGACCCCACCCGCTGTAAAGAGTCTGACAGGATAACAGCAGGACTAAATGCATAAGACCAGAGAGACGACAATTTACTGGGCCTTTTGTGTTGGAAAGAGGACATCGCTTGGCTACAGTGCTAACGGGCACAGATCTGGAAACATTTACAAGGGTGCTGTAGGTGAGGACAGAGGGGAGGTGTATAGCACCCAGATGCAAGGACAGTCCTTCACAGCTCTCTTGTTGGAGGAGGAAAACTTGAAATGTGAGAAGAAGGGGTGTCTTTTTTTTTTTAATGAACCCCGCTGTTGGTGGACGAGGGGACTCAAAGATTACCTGCATCCTAAACAGTTCTTAATAGGAAAGTTTTAATCGAGATTTTTTTTTTTTTGCGCTACTCTCATGTTCACCCCCTGCGGAGTTCAAAGAGCCGCGGACAGAGGGACGTCGCCGCACAAAAGCACGTCGGCCGCATGACGCCATCAAAGGGCGCAAAGGGCAGGGCGGCGTTTTTCCTGACCTTCCGACGCCACGAGCTTTTAATGAGCAGAGATGCCCCGGAACTGCTTAAAACCCCACTGGAAAATCTTCACCTGCCTCTTCAACTGCAGCAAGACAGCGGAGTCCCTGGAAAAACATTTTTTAAAAAACTTTTTAGAAGAAGAGATGAGAGAGGGGGAATTGTGTACTTCCCTGCCTGACTCTTTTAAAAAGAATTTGTGTAAAGTGAGGATTTTTCTTTCATCTTCCTTGAATGTAAATATTTTATTTATGTTGTAATTTAACGGGATTTGTAAATACTGGTGTACCACTTCGCTTTTTAAGAAGTTTTGTAAATGGGTTTCGCTTCTTTTGTTTGTTTGTTTTTTTTTAATACAGAAACAAAATGCGGCGTTGTTGGGCAAGACAACGTACGTTATACATTTTTTTTTGTGCGGAAACGTATTTTAAAAGCAAAAAAAAAAACAATAAAACAGGGTATTTGAAAGTGAATTTGTGAAGATTTGCCGTTGTCTTTTCCCTCCAAGAGTGTAACGTGACACTGAGGTCTGCAGAGAGCGGTACTCTCTCCCTCCACCCCCCGAGCTGTAGTTTGGAAAGCGTGCTTGGCAGACTGATGGTCATTCATGTGTGTAAAAGCAGTTTAAAAAAAGAGGGAAATAAAGCACTAACAAAGGAACAATGGTCCTCATTATCTGGTGTAACTTAGCCATTCAATAAAACAATTTGATTTTGTGGTTACGATTCGTGACGTGTATGCTGTGCGGGGTGGCAGCTCCCTACCCCCCCGATACAACTTTTGTTGTACAGATTTTGTTTGGTCTTGGATGATGAAGCACTAGTTCCTGTCCATTCTGGAAACTGGCAAGGTGCCTGTGATGGGGCAGCAGCCGTGCGCAAATAGTTTTTTAAATGGCTAATATATAGGCAATACTCTAGAATATTAGTTCAGGTGGGGAGCTGCAAAGGAACAAGTTATAGGTTTATTCCATTCTGAAAAAAAGAAGAAAGAGAACACAACGTTTCGGCCGTGGAGCCTTCTTCAGGTGTGAGAGAGACAGGGCAGTAGGCAAAGGTAAAGTAGCCCTAGACTATACTCTAGAATATTGGTTACCCTGTGTGTCAAAAATGTCAAGTTCCTGTCGCAGTTCTTAGTATCTGCTCCCAAGGAAACTGCAGCTGGAAAACAAGGAATTAGAGTTCAGGTTTTACTAAGCAGCTGAGTGGGAACATCTTTCCCTGAAATGGTTGCCGTGATAACAATTCAGCAAATTCTGCTCACGTTTGTCTGAAATTTGGTCCACCAGGCACTGCTGACAAGTTCTCCTCCATTGGTATTCCACATGGGTTCTGTATAATTTATTCTAATGAATTAAGTGAAAAGAACAAAGTTATTTATTATTATTATTATTAGTATCCACCTTTCCAAGGGGGGAAAGCGGTCTTTAATCTCGCTGCAGTGTGCTGGTGGCAGTCCTGTTGTGACATGAGCTACACTTAATAATGGCAATGGTGACAGGATGAATGGGGATTTTCATTTCTTACATTTTATACAGAACTTTTCATGCTAAAGTTGTTTTTTTAACCACTGAGTGGCTGAGGCGGAAGGCAGTCCCTCTTCAACCACATCGCAATGCAGCCCTGCCGCACACATCAGGTACGGTAGTAAGATACTGCTTCACAAAATCACCAGCTGAATCAAGAGGGAACTGGAGGCCGGCCTGTGCAGCCCAGAGAATCTAGCCAAGAGACTGGGTTAACACCCCTTCTTTAAGGGAGGCGGCAGGGACTTTGGGCTAATTAATATTAATCCTGCAAATGAGGTTTTTTTATTCTTTGTCTTGACAGTTGTGGCAACAAGCCTTGGAAGTGTTTTCAGAGAATTAACCCTTTGTGTGCCCCCCCAGTCCGTGCGCCGGAGGTGATTTGTTCTGTGGGGGTGGGACAGTATGTGGGACTCTCTTGGGTTTGGTCTACCCACAGTCCTCCAGTGCTGAAGCTATAGCCTGACCGACTCTTCCCCCTCCGCTGGTGCCTGGCTTGTTCCTTCAGCGCAGCCCAGCCAGCACTTCCCTTTACAGCTGATGACTCCTCTGAGCAAAGGCCTCTGCTTCTGCTGAAACCCCTCTGAACCTCTGCTTCTCCGTCACCCCTGGCTTGTTTCAATTCCACTGTCCGCATGAAGGTGAAGAAGAGCAGGCCCAGCCCTACATGTGTTGCACAACGTTCAAGAAGCCCTCAGCTGTTAACTTCCTCTCAAACCATTACAATGGAAAAACTGTTCAGCGATATTAGGGCCTGAATGGGCGGCAGTTAAATAATTAGAACCCCGTGCCCCGATGCCGACGGGTTTCTGTTTCACATCTGCTAATTAGAACCAATTTTTCTCAGCCCATTGTAATCTTCAGCTGTTTTAAATTCCAGTCTGATCTTAAATCTGTCCGAGCTTTAACTGAGCAAGAGCAGCGCAGACTGTGACCGCATCAAAGAAGTCATTTAAGGACAGTGTAAACTGCTTAAATATCGGTCTTAAAAGACCAGCATATTTGGATCCTTTCTTACAATTGCTGTTGACAAAAAAAAATCTTTGTTGTTTTCAAATTTCGTTTGGAAGTAGGTTTGTTTGAAAAGTTGAGTTTTCATACGTGTGTCTATGCAGGATTGAGAACAATGCTTTAGCAGAAACTGAGTGAATTTATCCTTGTCCTGCACTATGCCTCCGGCGCCAGAGAGCGGAAGACGGGTGGGGTGTCCTCCGACTGGGTTCTGATGCTCTGAGCCCAAAACACCAGGGGTGCTGGAGGGAGGGGTGGATTGTGTTTATTAGTGTGGTCAAGGACGCTATGTGGAACAGGCCGGCTTGTGAGGGCTGATTCTTCCAGCTATTCTGCAAGATAAGCAGGGAACGGTAGAAAGGGGGGATTGTCACCAGTTTTACTGTGACCAAAATGCAGTCTCCATGGCCCTTTCACAATACTGTACATATTTTAACTGAGAGCTTGGCGCTGAAGGGATATGTCCCAGGTAGAGAGGAGAGGGTAGGCTGGTCTCCAAACACAGTAAGAAGCTCCAGAAGACACAGCCCACCGCCTCAGCAGGTAAATAGGGGCAGCCTGGCCCACAGCATGCACTACCTGTCCTGCAGCAGAACCTGATTAACCTGCCGCGCAGAAGCCTGGCTCGGCAGCAGGCAACGGCAGCCGCCTTTTCAGTTCCACATGTTAATTCCTCGGGGTTGAAAGCAGAGACAGGGAAACTTGCACTATCTCAGCCTGAAGATGTGTCGAGCTCTCTGACCACAAAGCCCTCATCACCTCCCAATCGGGGGGCCCCTAGTTTCGATAGGACTGAGAAAACACCTCCATCCATTCCATTAGAGAGCAGAAAGGTTCTGACAGAGTTGGCTTCTTTATCAGCACATTACGCCACCCTTCTCAGCTCTGAGGTAGCGAGTAAGTTTACAGTTCTCTTTTATTAGGGTTTTTGTAAAAACCTTAACCTCCACGCAAAAATGCTGTTAAAAATAGAGCAAATTCTTGATCAACTGAAAGGGGAGTAACAAACTTTGTAGTGATATTTTTCATCTGACGATGGCAATGTGATGGTTTTGATCATGTGAAGCTCTGGGTTTAGTTTTGTCCAAACCCCTTAGTGTGAATCCCTCCTTAGTGATTGTAGAGCAAAGAGCCAGTTCGATCAGAACCAGAAGGATCTTGTCCACACTGTGTAAGGCACAAAGGGGCAACATTATTCTGTCCAACAGTGCAGAGGTGAAGTCAAATCCAGTGTTGTGCTTATTTGAATTGGACCACACCCAAGCGTCAGAGTGTGTCATTAAATTCCTCGTGCAAATATTCTTGAATATATGATGAGAGGAAACAAAGCACAAGCTTGAATTACTATTCACCAACAAATGCTGGTGGCATTCTAGGTTTGTTTAAAAATAGAGCACCGTAAAGGAAACTTAGAACATGCAATAAAGCCACATGGAACAGCTTTTTATGCTTCAGGGCAACAGTTATGAGTAAATGTTTTGCAGTCGAGTCATTTTAATTAATTAGAATGGGGACTGAGAAAGAACAAGCAGGTTTGTTCCAAGCTGAAACGTAAAAAGAAGAAAAAAAACATCTCAGCAGCGGAGCCTCCTTCAGGTTTGCATTGGGTATTTTACATTAATTGAAATGAGTTAATTGACTAGAGTGTCTGAAGGTTTTCTTTCGGCAGTGCCGAGTTCTGACTGCAGTGTTACCGTTACTTCAAATCCCCAAACTTCCCAAGAAACCCAGATCTATCAACCTGGAACAAAAAATTCTATGCAACAAAAAAATGGACACAAAAAACAAAAAATGTCGATGCAGTGTAATGTACAGGTCAGAGCAGGGGCAGAGGAAGGCAGTGTGATCTACTGGTCAGAGCTGTGTTACAGTGACGTGAGCTGAGATACAGAGAGGCAGGGTACGGTTTAGGATAAAAAGTGCCACAAAAGATGCAAAACAAACAGTTAAATGAGGATTTGCACGCAGCACTGTGGGCCAGGACAGGGAACAGCCCCCTGGGCACGGCTCTCGGCCTGCAAGCGCCTGGTCATCGCGTGTCCCTCCTGCAGGACAGCAAAAACAAGAGGAGGAAAGTCCGAAACACGCGAAGGAGAGGAAAGCAGGCCCAGGTCAGGCAAGGAGCAGGGTGGAAAAGCGAGCGGCAGAACAATGAGAGTTTCAGAGAGCGGCTCGGGGGGAGGGACGAGCCTCTACTCCTCGGAGAAAATGTGGTAAAAATTAATCCAAATTACAGACGACGGATGTTTCGGTGGGGTGCTGAAGAGCCTTTATGAAGTGACTCTTCTTTTTGTTCCGTCTGAGTCATTCTGTGGGAATGTGGTGGCCTGTCCTCCCCAATTCCCTGCCCACCCCAAACACAGTCACACACACACGCAGCAAGTCACCCTGTCCTTCCCCAAAACAGCAGCGTCTGATCCGACGCCCTCCCTCTCCCCTCGCAGACAGCAGATGTCAGAGGTTCTGAGGGAACTGATGCTGCACCACTCTCACTCCCAGGAAATGAAATAATTGTGCCCCCCCCTTCAGAACCAAAGGCCTTTGCAATCCGACAACGCAAATTTGTCCAGCTATCCTCTCCTTTCCCATACGCACAGGCCAGGAAGAATCAATGATAGGACAGCAAGCTCTAAATACCCATGCAAATTGAAAGCAACTGTTACTTGCTAAAAAAAACCCACACAAAACAAATACTGTCCGTTTACCTCTTATTGAGCAACACTAATCCCAGAAATCTGTCAGCAATTGCTCATGTTGAATGGCCCCAGCAAATGCATTCTAAAGTTGTTCATTCAATGTCTAAATCACTTAAAGCAAAATAGGTGCCTGCCACACTAATTTTCTTTAAAAAATGTACATTATTTTTCTTGATTACTATAAATCCGCTGGAGTTCACGAAAGTAGTACTGTAATTGAACAGACCGTTTTTGTT